AAATAAATTGTTTTTATTTATATTTTTATCATTTCTGTGTTCTGTTGTATTAATATAATTTATTTATAAGCGAAGTATTAACGAAAAAAAAATCAAGTTGTTTGATTAATACATGAGAATTGTACACAGAATCTACTTGGAATTTATTCTGACTATGTTCTGTTCGAGATTATCTCACGGCAGGAGTAGATGATTACATGGTGGCTTGCAGAGCCATGGTACTAAGTTAATTTAAGTAATCAATCTAATAGTATTTATCGTTATTTTTATATTTTCTTTTCATCTTTGTTATGTATATTTGAGTCTTCATTCTCTAGAGTGTTGTTTCTTTTCTTGCACATGGAGATTATTTGAAAAGCTTCGAATAATTTAATATTCATTTCTGTTGATTTTATTAAAAGTAAACAAGGGGGAAAAGTGAAACTTCATCTACTTCAATAAAAAAAGAATTTGAAATACGATGAGGTATGAAGTGTCACTTATTCTCCGTTTGTTGTCTTTCTTTTTTGTTTCTATAATTTGGATTGATTTAAAAATAAAAAACAAGGTCATCAAGAAAATAAAAAGAATAGTACATAACGATTATTTTGGAAGTTCTCATATTTAGTAAAAGCGATAAGTCTCAAACACTGAAGTTATGCAGTACTTTCTTGTTAACTCTTTAAGTACCATCGCTCAACCTACGGACGAATTTCCTTTTAGATCATTTATTTCCTATGGACAGACTCTTTTATGAATAGTTTTATCAAAACTTTTTAAAAATCTTCAAAACCATTTTCAGCTAATTTCCGTACCTCCCTACGGGGATTGGGATGAAAGTATTTTGGTGATTTGTGTGTAGAGTACAGGTGTAGTTAAAAAATTCGATTAGATGTTTTTGTAAGGCTCTGCAGAGTTCTAACTTTTATATAGATCTATGTATCAAAGTCTCCTCTATGTCGTGGAGAAAACCACACTTCGTTATCTTATTGTTTTCACGAGTTATTCGAAATTTGTCAAGCTTGAAAAAGCGGGGCTTATAAGCCCCGTCGGTACTTAAAGGGTTAAAATGAAACGTTTTAAAGAGTTTGTTATTCTTAAATTCGAAAATGATGTATTTCAAAATGCTTTTAGAATCTCCAAAACCTTTTTATTCAAGTTTACCTAGAACAGCATATCTCTTATGTTGTTCTGCTTTCTTTTGCTTCTACCGTGATGTTTCAGTTCCCTGTTTCTCTTGTATGTATTGTAGATATGTGTAAATAGTTCAGATGTTTCAATAGTAATAAAAGAGAAAGAACTAGAGATTGAAATCTTGATTAACTAGAGCGGAAAATCGTCTAATTATAACGAATCTTTGTTACAGATTAGCATCTCTACACGAATTATAATTTCTTCAAATATTATACAATAGAAGATAGAAATATCTGAAACTTTTAAAATTACAATAAATTCAAATATTCTTTCTACTCAATAATGAATTCTCTCGTCTATATGAACTGAAAGAAACTTTGTTAGGCTTCATCGGAATGGAGCAAACTTAGAGAGATTTTTCAAAAACTCATGGAATTTCATAACTAAAGTTTCAGTTGTTCTCCTCTTCAGTCACGTTATAGTGCACAAAAATATTCTTCAGAGTGGAACTCGATCTTGCTACTGATAAATGTCAATGGACAACTATAGTACTTACAAGAATTGCCAGTGATTGGTTTTAGTTTTATGTTACGTACAGCATTGAATATGATTTAACGTATCAAGTATATATGAGTTACATAAATGAAAAAATAATATTCTTAAAGAATAACATTAAAACATATAGATCTCAGTAAGACAACTAAATAAGAAAGGGGTGTGAATGTAGAAGATTCCTTTAAAGATGTTAACACCCACCCCTAAAACGAAAAAAAAACAATTCAAAAATTAAATATAGTACTCACTACATATTTCAGAAGTAGAGACAATTTATGCTGAAGAAATTATTGTCGAAAAAAGCAAATTATTTGAGATGAAACAGATCTAAGATCATTTGTAACATATATGAGAAATTATTCAATATTGACTTAAAAGTAATAAACCATTTAAATGAAAAAGAAATACAGTCAACTGCTATGTGTGCAATGACAGATTCCTCAATGAGAAGAGAGAAAAGATCGATCTTTACTCGGAAAGCACAAAACTGCTCGACTTCAGAGGAACAAATGCTAAGTCGAATCTAAAGAATACTAAACCCTACGATAGATAAAGAGAAGAGTTAACTACTACTCATACACTGATAAGTCCTTCAATGAAAAGAGGAGAAAGATCAACTCTAACTCTTAGAATACAAAATTCTTTGAGTGTATAGAGAAAAGGATCAACCATAATCTGAAAAATAATAAACTCTTCAATAGATAAAGGAGATGAATTAACCCCTATCCATACACTAATAAACTATCGGAAGAAACTAGAACGAATATGAACTGTTAATCATAGAACAGCAAGTCTTTCGAGAAGATAGAAATAAAATACGGTGCAATCCGTACAATTATTAATTCTAATCTGGAGATGGGTAATCCCTGCAAAAGAAAGAAGAGAAAGAGTAATGCTTATCCGCATAACGAAAAACTCTTCGAAGGAGTTGAGAGATTTATCAATCCTTATTAATACAATAATAAACCTTTTGAAAAAAAGGAAACCAAGATGAACATTTATCTGTATAATGAGAAAGTGTTTAAAGGAAAGTAAAGAAAGATCAATCGCTCGCTTGATATTGGGAAACTCTTCATAAACAAAGGCAGAAGGATTCACCATTATTCAGAGAATGGTAAATCTTACGAAGTAAATAAGTTAAAGATTAATCTGATCTGTACAATCGTGAACTCTAAAATGCAAGAGGAAGAAGGATCAACACTCACTCGTAGAATAATAGACCTATGAAACAAAGGAAGAAGGATTAACTGTAATCAGAAGAGTGATAAGCCTTTTTAAAAGAAAGGTAAAATCATAAATCCTAAACCCTATGATGATATATCATTATCTTGCAACTGTATGATGATCTATTGCTAACCATACAAGAAAATATGTATGACCTAAAATGTTACACTAAAACCCTTATTATAACTTTCATGTACCCGCTATTCAAGGATTTATTGATAAAATTTGGCAGAACAAGAATACATCATTATGCAAGTTGTTTTTCAGTTACATGGAAGGATATACTGTCATCCGTCGAAGAACAAACCCTTAGCTTAAAATATTTTACTGGAAAAACTTTGTGTAACTTCTATATACCAGTCAAAGTTTCACTAACCTACGATTTGATAAATGCTTCTATCAATGAGCATTTATAACATTTGCATGAATCCTCCGAGGATTTGTACGTGATATCTCAAAGGCTAAGGGTAAATGATTATGGGGATTTTGCTTTCAGTGTAGAACGATCTATCATAAGACGTAACATGGTAAACTCTTACTCTGCAATCGCAGAACAATCTACCCTTATGACTAGCAAAATAAAACCTTCTTTTCATGATCCTAGAAAGTCTACTATTCTAGATGTATTAAGAAACTCTTCTTTCAGCTATTGTAGAAGAATCTACCCTTAGGTGTACGATGATAAACCCTCTTGTTAAAGCCGCCGAGTAATCTACCATTCTGTTGTAATCGTTGGATATTCTACACTTGTGCGTAGAATAATGAACTCTTTCGTGCTCCTCGTAGAACAATCAACCCGGATGCGTGTAACAACATACCATTTAGTGAAAGCGTAGAATAATATAACCTTCAGGGTAGAATAATAAATCCTTCTGATAAAAACTTTGGCTCATAAATCCTCAACTACGCGACATATGCCCTTTTTATTTTCATATACCCTCAATATTATAAACCCTTTCGTTCATAAACCCCTAAAGGGTATATTAATTCGTTATAAACCCTTCAAGGGTTTATGAAAGCGTTTTTCAAACGACAAGATCGATTATTCTACGAATTTTATTTTCAGTATACAAAAGGGTGTGGGTGAGGGTTTGGGTATACGTGTCCTCATGAAGATAGAGAACTTATACCCACACCCACATCTACACGCACATCCCATCCCAAGGGAACATTATCATCATCACCCTCAAGAGTTTTAATGAAGACTCTAATTTGAATATTAACTTATTTATTAAAATAAGAGAAATACGCTTTGGCAAAAGAATATATAGAATGATAAATGTTTGACATGATATTAATTAGATTAATGTTAGAAGAAAGGTAAAGAATAAAAAAAAGTGATTAAGTGAATTAATTAGTTGATATATTAACAACTGGTGTGACATGAACTAATCGATATGGTAATATTTTGATAATTATAACTGCAAACAATTGACAAATGATCATTAAACCACCATAAAGAGAAATTAATGTTGTTATTCCTTCGATAATATTAAATTTATCAATATAAGAAAAAATACATGATGAAGGTGAACATTGAGTAAAATAATCTGAATAAGATAAACTATTTGTGAAATTTTCAATCATTAATTCATTTAAAACTGATTCGACAGTGGAATTAATTGGAAAACGACTTGGATTAATAGATAAATTTAATGCTGGAAATGTGTGAGTTTTATCAACACATTCTTGATCATAAAGACATTCAAATGTTGATTGTAAAAAACCTTCAAGTATATAACAAGAAATAATAACTCCATAAAGTTTTGTAAAACATTCTGAAGATAATCCACAATCACATTCATCATACTCAACTGGTATTGTATGAATTATATCTCCATCTGTTGGATTATATGAATCGGCTAATAACCAAGTAGAACCAAATGTAGTTAGAAATTTATTTGCTTTTGTTGTTTGACGAACTAATGAAAATGTATTAATAAATAATTTTGGCATTGTAGTTTTCATTTCATCAATAATCATTTGAATCCTTTGAGATAAAACATTTGGTGATAATAATTGAGTATTAACCATATGTTTATTTAGAAATTGTGTAACTGATTGACTAACTGTTGATTTCGATAATTCACAAAATATAGAAAGCGCTTGCAATTGTCCAACACCTGAATAAATATAAGTTTTAGAAACATTTTGATAAAATGGATTATTCTGACCAATAAGAACAGCCATCCACAATTCACCTATAAAATCTCTTGAACACGATGGATGATAATTAGATTTAATATTAATAAATGACCCATATGGTATTGCGATTTGTGAACAAGAACATTGAAGACTATACGAATGTTGTTTGACTAGATTTTCATAAATTGATAATGATGGATTTTTAATTTCCACTGAAGTTAATTGAGGATTAAAAGCAACAGTTATATAGAGAATACACAATGTTGTTGAAACTAATACAATCTGTAATCGACGAGTCATTTGTTGCTCATTAGTACCGATGAAAAAATGTTTTATAGAACGTATTGAGATTTCAAAAGTAAAATTATTCTTGAATTTTTCAGTTAATCGAAGTAAAAGTAAAATTGGAATTCTAAATCCAATTGAAAGTCCACCAAAAATACCAAATAAAAAAATAATTACTGTAAATATATCATCAGAATTTTTATATTGAATAATGCATAAATTTGGAGCACAGTGATTATAATATGATGAATAATTGATATTCCACGACCATTGATCAACCATCATTTGCTCGAAAATTGATCGTATTGTTTGATTTGGTGAATTTTTTGTTGAACTAAGTGCTGGAAATGTTAGGGATTGAATTAAAGATGAATTTAAAAAATGATTGATATTAGACATACATATTTCATTATAAAAACATTCTAATGTCGATAAAAATAGTGCATCAATTAAATAACATCCAACATAAAAATTTTCAATTAATAAAGTAAAACTATCAGTAAATATTTTCATTGGACTTGAACATAATCTTGCAAAAAATGCACAATTACAATCTCCATATGTTCGAGGTTCTAATATTGTTCTTACATCATCAGGATATTGGAAAAATATATTAAGACGATTCATTAATTGATTTCCTTGTGTTGTATTACGAATCAAATCGATTGTACTAATAAATTGGTTTATGGTAGACGATTTCCAATCTGTAATAGCTGAATCTAATTGAGTTTCAAGTTGATTTTTACGAATAACTTGTAAATTGAATATGTGTGTTTTCAGAAAATTTGTAAGTGAATTATTAATTGTTTGTTGAGCTTGTTCACAAAACATTGATAATGTTTGAAATTGATTACCAGCATTAATTCGATAATCGTATATGTCGCCCAAAAGTCTTGACATCGATTTACTATAAGCAATCCATCGAGAAGATACCAAATAACTCGAACATAATTGATGGTAATATACTTCAATACTAATAAATGTGAAATAAGGTGTCGATATTGATGTACATGGACAATAAAGATGAGTGGCATATATTTGAGAAAGTTCCAAATATTTTGATAAGGATAGATTTAGAATAGTTTCACGATGGATTGTTGTACGAGTTAAATGATATACAGATAATGATCCAGCTGAAATAGCAATTAAAAGGATATAAAGTCGAGTTCCATATCGTTGATATCGTATTTGTTGATCATTACTTGGATAATGTTTGAAATAATTCAATTCAATCACAGCTTTTTTAATACTTGATTTAACTTGATTCAAACCAACATGAACTGTTTATTCAAAACAAAAAAGAGAAAAAAATATTCTCTTTCTAATGTTTTCAATATCAATTGCACTTTATTCCCATTTTCTATAGGTTTAAATCATTCTTCAACTAGTACGGAAATGCTATTCTTGTAACACTTAATTTAATTTCTAGTAAATATATTGTCATAGAATACTTGAATGACAACATGGAATCTCATCAAAAATATCATTTCATTAATAAACTCCTCAAAATACACTACAAGATCCATAAATGACAGTCATCGGATAAAATACGGGGACTAAACGATATCGCATAAATTTTTCACTATGTCATTCCTTGGATGAATACAATACGAATATGGCAAAATGATGCTTATAAATCGTCGATCTGGTTTACAATGACATTAGGGTAGTTTATAGGGGTCCATAACTTTCCTCCTGATGTACTACATGTGAATTACCAGAGGTTTATGAAGTTGTTTACAGTCAGTTTTCGCAAGAGTTTTCCAAATATCTTCGTTGATGTTTTTTTTTTCTTGCATTGTTTGTTAAAGTCGTACAATGCAGCGTCTTTTGATCAATATGAAGCATGTCATAGCTCGCTACCATGCTTGTAAGCAATACCACATAAACACGTTTTTTTCACCGCAGTCGCGTCATTTTATTATCGTTGATGGTCGTCAAGTAGTCGTATTTAGCATAGATACAGACTGAAAAGTAGGGCGAACGTTATATCTGTTTTTGTTTAACCTAGACTGTTTTGCACAGTTTATCGAAAAAACAACACTCTAAGTTAAAATGTGTTGTAATTCACAACACATTCCATGACACATTCGTGTACGACACGAGGTGCTCGTTGCGATGCATTTTCTCAAGCAAGCGTAGAACACATTATACCACGATACATCCGATACATTCTCAAATCACTGTTCGAGTATAGGTTTCACGATATCAATACTTTTTTCTTTCGTGCATTGTATTCACCGATATTTAATTAGTACAATTAACATCAGTGTCTGATACAGCAATACAAACCAGGCAGATCTTGAGACCCCGCCGTGTAAGGCTAGTCAGATCCCAGCTAAGCTATTGCCAGGTAGACCTCTCTTCAGATGAAGTCACTAGCTCTCGAAATATTTACAAGAAATATATAATCGAAAAATATATTGTATTGAAATATGCACCAAAATTACGATTTTCCTATAATGGTTCAGCTTGATTATATACAGATAAACGCACGAAACAAAATCGGTGAATGAACAGCCATCATATATGTACAGAACGGTTAAAAATACGACACATTAAAGTGCGATACATTTCCTTATTGGAATCCACGATGCTTTAATTTACGACGGAAAAAGTCCACACATTTTAACTTAGAGTGAACAATCAGAAACATTTGAATCTTCTGCATAACTTCAAATTCTTTCAGAACTACCTTAGAAGACAATTCATTGATTTAATTCTCTTGAGTTGTTACTCTATCAAAAAATGTTATCTTATAGTTAATGTTGATGTCATCTCGGATTCTGATAAAAGTCTTCCTCATAAGTAGTCTTGTTTTATATCGATTACAATATGAAAAAATTCAGATCATTTTGAGAAGATATTGTCTCAGTAAAAGAATAATATCTCTATGAAATTGGATTTAACTTACTTGGAACTGATGGAGCTTGTTCATGATTTAATTTTTTCATTATAAATCGAACAATGATTGGAATAATTAATTCAAGAACCAGTGTTAAACCACTTAACAGACTAATAAGTTTAGTGATAACATATATTAAATTATGTCTTTCTTCTTTCGAATATGTGCATGATATAGGTGCACACTGATCATAATATTTTTCATAAGATATAGTTGTTATCCATTCTTCTATCATTAAATTCTCTAACATTGTTTTTACTTTTGTATATTGATTATATGAACTATTAATATGAATTACTAATGCTGAAAATCTTTCATTTGTTGGAAAATAAGAAATAATATCATTTAAACATGTTTGATTATAAAAACATTCAAGTGTTGAATCAAGCATTGAAATAATAGGTAAACAACCTGATGCTATTCCAGGTAATACTTTTGTATTATTGGATATATATCGTGTTCGTGCTCGAAACATATCATCAAAGACTGCACTAGACGTACAATAAAGATCATTTTGACAATCACAGAATGTACCATCATCACGATGGTATATAATAGACTGTAATTTAAAAGAAAAGCTGCCATATAATATAATATAATTTGTTAGTAATCCCGATACAATTTTATTGCCCATTGTCATTCGAAGTATTAAATCTAATTGATTTGTAAAGGCTTGAGGAACTTCTTGTTGAAATTGATCAATAATTAATTGAAGTTGTGTTTGAAGATCATTTTCAGATAAAACTGATAAACTAATAAATGTACTTTGATGAAATGTATCGATACTCTGTTGTACATAAGCTTTTGATAAATGACAGAATGCAGCTAATGCTTGGAATTGAGAACTAGAAAAACTTCGAAAATCTCTTATATTAAAATAAGTTGCATTTGAACCAGTATATATTGCATTAATCCATCGATCACTAACAAAATCACTTGAACATATTTCATGATATATCGGTTCTAATAATGTAAATTCATTATATGATATTGATATACGAGAACAAGGACATTGTACACCGATTGGCAAGCTTTTTAATTGTTCTTTTGTCAAATATTTTAATGTAACTGCTGTTGTTTTAAGACTTGCCCATGCAAATATACTAATTGAAATTAAACTTAATAGAAGAACAATAAGATAAACACGAGTAGCAATAATATTACTACGACGTTCTTGTTCATCCTCTATTTCATTACTATCAGGGGTGGGTGCAAAAAAATTTAAATTACAAAGATAATTCTTCAACGAAGACATTTTCTCAAATTAACATGTTTGCATCTTGTCTTCAAATGAATAAAAACTAGAAATATTTTTTTTATTTGAGTAAGACGACTTTGCCGATCTAAAAATGTTAATTTAGAAAAGGGATTGTGTCGCAGAAAAAACATTATCAAAATGAAAAAGTTTTAACTACAGAATAGGAAAAAAAGCAGAATAGTTTAAAAAAAACTGTATCGATCTTTTTAAGAAAAGAATACAACATATTTTTATCGTATACTATGAAATCTTAAGTTAATAAATTTTGCTTTCAATCAATGTAATGACGTTCACTAACAGTCACACGTAGCTCGTTGGCAATGTGGCATTGCTACTGAAAGTTTTTAGATTGATTAAATGCAGCATTTTTTAACTTAAGATTTCATAGTATACGATCATATAACATATATGATATCATTTAAATATAGCAATCGAATCAATCAATTTCTACTTTATTAAAAAGAAAATCGATATCAGTTCTATGAGCAACACACAAATTGCAAAACATTTCTTTTCCTTCTAATTAACAACGATAAACACGATATTTTAAAGATAATTTTACGATAAAATTTTTCATCTTTTTTTATGAAGATGGTAATTTTATTGTTATTCGTCTATTTATCTACTAAAGTTTCAATTGTAAAATGTATACCTGTTTAAAAAAAAATAATAAAGAATAATTTTGTCTTCATCAAACTGTTGACAAGACATTCTTTGTTGCTTTTATATTCAATTCAATCATATTTAAACCTAATATCAAGTAATAGAATTAAAACAAAATAAATAAATAAAAGAGAAAAGATGATTTCGAAAAAAACATTTGTAGATAAATCATATAATTATGTTGATTCATGAGAATTATTATTATTATTTTTTTGAATAAATACAATAGATTTAACAGCAAATATAAATTTCATTTTAACTAATAATCAAATTTATTTTTATTTTATTTAACGTATGAATTCAATAACATTTATGTAACATACGTTTCACAACATTAAGTTACATCTTCAGACATTTGGTAGAAATGAAGGAATAATACAAGATAAAGTACTAGATAGGTTACAGAAGTGAACAAATAACTTTTTACAGTAGTAAAGACATCTATATCCATGGAAAGAAATACTTGCACAAGATATTTCGGGCATATTGTCACTATAAAAAGGCATTTTTTAAAAAACAATGACATATTCTGAAAGCTCATGAAATTGTCTATCGTTCTGTATAATTAGGATTTAGATTTTAACATATTCTCATAGAAAACAATCGAGCACAGCGAAGGCACCCTCGTGTTCCGATGTCCACAGACTTGGATTCTTTGTAAGACCAAAAAACCTTTTTGAAAATTTTTAACGTAATAAAAGTGTTTTTTTAAGAAACAATAATTATAGATTCTGAGAGAGCTTGGCACGCTCTATCATCCTGTA